GAGACAGTAGCCTGTTTCCGAGCACTCCAGGCAATCAGGTTAGAGCCAAAGAAGACAGCATAACCCCCCGTGGATCGCCTGTCATCCGGATTGCCAGCCCAGTCTGCATCAGAATATGCTGAAAGACAACCAGAGTCAGACGGCCGAATATGCAAACCATGAGCCACCGTGAAACGAATATAGCGCAAAATCCGCTTAACAGCAGACCAATGAGTGTCACGGGGTGACTGCAGATACTGGCAGACTCGGTTAACAGCATAGGAAATGTCTGGTCGCGTGATCGTCAAGTACTGGAGCCCACCAACAATACTCATGTACTCTGTCGCATCAGAAGAAGAAAGAAGCACACCATCAACAGCATTGAGCTTATCAGTGGTAGACATGGGTGTAGTCGTCGGTTTGCATTTAAGCATCCCAGCTCGCTGCAACAAATCCAGAGAGTACTTCTTCTGCGTCATAACAAGGCCAGCAGCACGAGAAGTAACCTCCACACCAAGAAAGTAATGAAGCTTCCCAAGGTCCTTGACCGCAAAATCAGCACCAAGTGAGCGAACAAGCGCAGTAGCAGCCGACTGAGAGGAGCTGACCAAAATGATATCATCTACATAGACCAACAAGTAATAGTAACCTCAGGCCTTTGAAGAAGAAACAATGAGGAGTCAGCAGTTGATGATGCAAAACCATGAGCACGAAGAGCCATTGCAAGACGAGCATGCCAAGCACGAGGAGCCTGCTTCAGACCATAAATTGCCTTGGACAGACGACAGAGATGATCAGGGCGATCCGGATCAGAGAAACCCGGAGGCTGGCGCATGTAAACCTCCTCCGCCAAGACACCATGAAGAAAAGCATTTTGAACATCAAGCTGACGAAGAAACCAATCTCGAGTAACAGCCAGAGAGAGAAGAAGTCTGATGGTAGTAGGCTTGACCACTGGACTGAAGGTGTCTTCATAGTCAAGTCCAAAACGCTGTCGAAAACCACGAGCAACCAGACGAGCCTTATAGCGCTCAATGGACCCATCAGAATGCCTCTTCACTTTGAAAACCCATTTGGAATCAATGACATTTACCCGTGATTGTGGAGGAACAAGAGTCCATGTCTGATTGCGAAGAAGCGCTTGATACTCCTGCTCCATGGCCTCTCTCCAATGAGGAATGCGCATAGCAGCTTGATACGTGCGTGGCTCAGAGGATGGATCTGCGAGAGCAGCAGACATGCACGCCGCTAACCAAGCAACTGTGCCATCGTGACATTGCTTAGGCTGAAAAATGCCACTCCGACTGCGCGTATGTGGACGTAGAGCAGCAGCAGGAGCCGGCGAAGGCGAAGGTGACGAAGACGTGACGGTCACCGGAGATGCAGGAATCACCTCAGGCGAGCTCGGGACAGACGACTCCGGGCTGCATGGCGAAGACTGGCCCGACGACAGGGGCTCAGAGGCCATGGGCGAACCGAGAGTGGGCGAGGCCAGCTCCGGTGACACCGGCCCAGACGGCCTTGGCGAGGCGAGAGCAGGCGAGGCCGGCCCTGGTGAGAAGGGCCCAGACACCCTGGGCGAGGCAGGGGCGGGCGAGGCCAGGCCTGGTGATGACTGCCCCGACGCCCTGGGCGAGACGGGGACCGAGGAGGCCGGCACAGTCGGCGGGGTTGCAGGGCGCGACGATGGCGAAGGCAGCCCAGAAGCCAGAGGCGACCGGGCCAGGACGTCGATCGGCCGTGCATGAGCACGGAAACCGAGGCCATGCAGGGGCGCCATGTGCTCCTCATGCACAACAGAAGGTGCCGAGGATGAAGGCGATGGCGACGAAGAGGAAGATGGCACTTCCAGAATCTCCAAACGAGCCCCACGACCAGTGCCTGCACCATGGTTAGGCAACAATAGAGGAGAATATGCAACATCATCAAATTGGTCAGAAGCAACAGAGGATGAATGCATGACAGGTGGCTCGGTAGTGGACACAGGGAGTTTGGCAAAGGGGAAAACATGCTCATCAAACACAACATCCCGAGAGATGTAGACACGATTAGTGGGCACATGAAGACATTTGTATCCTTTATGAAGAGAGCTATAACCAAGAAAAACACACTTCTTGGAACAAAACTCGAGCTTACGCTTGTTATATGGACGGAGATGGGGCCAGCAAGCACACCCAAACACCTTGGTGTAGTCCGGTTGTTCATTAAGGAGAATTTCAATGGGAGTCTTCATATTCAAAACACGAGTGGGAGTACGATTGATGAGAAAACATGCAGTGGTGAAAGCATCACTCCAAAAACGAAACGGAACAGATGCATGGGCCAAAAGAGTCAGACCAGCTTCAACAATGTGATGATGCTTACGTTCTACTGAACCATTCTGCTGATGTGTATGTGGACATGCCAAACGGTGAGTGATCCCAAGCGGCTGAAAGAAGGAGTTGAGGTCGCGATACTCGCCACCCCAGTCCGACTGAACATGAACAATTTTGTGCTTGAGAAGGCGTTCAACATGTTTTTGGAACTGAACAAAAATGTCAAACACATCAGATTTACGTTTGATAAGATAAAGCCAGGTAAAGCGGGTGTAAGCATCAACAAAACTGATATAGTAATTATGACCACTAACAGAAGTCTGAGCAGGACCCCATACATCTGAAAACACAAGTTCTAAAGGATGTTTCACCTCACGACTGGACTCCGAAAAAGGAAGTTGATGACTCTTCCCCTGCTGACAAGCATCACACACTGCTACATCTTTATTACTAGACACACTAGGAAGCTCATGACGACGCAAAACATGCCGGACAATAGGTGTGGCCGGGTGACCAAGACGAGCATGCCACTGTGACGGAGATACCCGGACTCCACTGAAGACGCGAGCGATGCCAGGATGCTCCAGACGATAGAGACCTTGGCAGAGCCGCCCACTAAGAAGAATGTCCCTCGTGCCCCGATCCTTAATAAAAAGATCAAAAGGATGAAATTCACAAAGCACATTATTATCACGAGTGAGTTTAGGAACTGAAAGAAGATTACGTGTCACAGATGGAACTCGAAGAACATTGCGAAGTTGAAGACTCCTATTGGCATGTCTAGTGAGAAGTGATGCTTGACCAATATGAGAGATGTGCATACCTGCTCCATTGGCGGTGTGGATCTTGTCGGAGCCATGGTAGGGTTCACGAGTGTGAAGCTTCCCCATCTCACTGGTCAGGTGCTCTGTCGCCCCAGAGTCCATGTACCAGTGGGGATCAATGGAGTAGGACTGAGTGTGTCCCTGTGGCTTCTGCGGCGGCGGACGATCAGCCATGGCGACCTGACGAGCAAAGTTGCGTGTATCCTTCTCGTCATTGCCGAGACCAAGAAAACCCCGCTGGAAGCGCTTGTGACACTTCGAGGCCCAGTGCCCATCGCGACCACAAAGCTGGCACACACGTGGACCGCCAGCCCCTGGTAGCGTCGCAGTAGGATGAGGGGCCGAGGCGGGTGGTGGTGACTGCCCCGAAGGAGCCCTGGATGAAGCAGAGGAGCGACCACCCTTGGTGGCGGCGTTTGCCGAGAGGGCGCCGTTGCCCCTGGATCGGCATGTCTCGACTCGTTGCTCAGTAAGCAGGAGGCGTGAAAAGACCTCGTGTGCTGGCATGGGCGTGGAGTTGCCCCTCTCATTAATGATCTCGACTAGGGCGTCATACTCCTCATCAAGACCATTGACAATAAACGAGTTGAACTCGGAGTCGGTGAGGGGCTGTCCAATGGAGGCCAGCGTGTCGGCGAGACTCTTGACTTTGTTGTAGAACTCAGTGGCGGTGGAGTCAAGCTTCTGACACTCCCCAAGTTGGCGACGGAGCCCAGATACACGAGCCTGCGACTGTGCCGCAAACGAGCGCTCAAGAATAGTCCATGCCTCGTGGGACGTCTTGGCGAAGACAACAAGCCCAGCAACGGCCGGAGAGAGCGACCCCTGGATGGAGGAGAGGTTCGCCTGATCCTGCCCTGTCCAGACACGGTGAGCCGGATTATAGACCGGACCGTGCACGCTGTCAACCAGCGCAGGAGGGCAAGGGAGAGAGCCGTCGACATAGCCAAGCAGATAGTGACTCCCAAGAAGTGGAAGAACCTGCGCGCGCCAGAAGATGTAATTGTCCAACGACAACTTGATGGTGATGAGATGGCCGAAGTGAAACGGCGGCGGCGGCTGCGATCCCATCGAGGAGACTGGCTGAGGTGAGACCACCGTGGAGACAGTCAGAGGGGCAGCCGGCGCAGTGACAGAGGGCGCGATGGCCGCAGTTGACGCCGCGAAGCCTGCCAGCGCGACGTCCTCCGCCACCAGCGGCGCAGTGGCCGAGGGCGCGACAGCCGCGGTTGACGGGGCGGCGGCGGTGTGGGCCACAAGCGCCTGCCCGGGCGAAGTAGCAGCCGGCGGGAGCGCGAAGAGAGAGCCAACGCTCCGTGTCCCGATCGGCGCCTGAAGGGAGGTGGCATCCAGCGGCCTCGAGAGAAGTGCCGCGAGGGAGGCCGGCAGAAAACTGGTGGCGGTGGAGCCGGACGCAGCGGCGGACGTCATAGCAGTCGGGCGACGGCGACGGCGGGCGCGGCGGCGGCGGTGGAGGTTTAGGGTTTTTAGGCGGAAGCGGACGTAACCTAGCGTGATACCATGTAAGACAATAGGCTTTGGGAGGAACCGGCACAACCCTCTAGGGGTGGCCTATCACATATATTTATATAATGAGGTGGTATACAACGTTACAATATACACATGTAAATACAGTCTAACACAAGTGCTATCCCATATAGAACACTAACAGTCTCAGACGCTAGAGGTTTTCACCACACACGACAAGTCAAGCAGCCAGCTCAGCCATGGACAACGAACAACTGCTACCAGCCACTTAATTACTGCAGAACGTACTGAGTCGCTCCACCACCATTTCCCCTCTACTTAATACATGAGCAAACATAGAAAGGTGTCTTACTTAGTTAGGGTCGGTTCTAGAGAAACCGTAGCGTTGAGCAGCTCAACGCCGTCTCTTGCTCGCCTTGAACAGCTTGATGGCATGCTGGACAGCTTCCTTGGATTTTGCTTTCCTCCCCTCCCTCTGGTTCCATAGCTCCGGGAAAGGAACCCTGCTGCCGCCGCTGCTGCCATTCAGCTCGATCAGCGCCGTCACCACCGCAGCATATGCTTCCTCGCCGTACACCTCTTTCAGCTCCTTGAGCTTCATGTCATCCTCGTTGATCACTTCCTACACAAGAATATACACCAGGTGCAGCATCAGCGATCCTAATAAATGTTTATATGCAAGAAGATGGAGAAAGCTTATAAATTCAGAAGTAGTACCAACCAGGTAAGATAATTGAAGGTGCAACAGAAAAAAATGGTGTTGCGCTTGTCAATTGCACAAAGTCTAAATATGCAATGACAAAGGATTTAGGGATGCAAGCGGGCACGTCCATGCTGTCCGCAAAGGCGAAAAGAAGCTAATCACCGCTGCTTTAGAAACCAAGCTAATACAAAAACCATAAATGCGGACATTGGCCAACGCGTCCGCCCGCATCCCTACAAGGATTGCTAAGCGGGTTGGGATCCTCTTTATTTTTAGAGAAAACACAAAGGACCGTTGCGTTTCATTTCATTGAAAAGATAGAACAGTCCTCCTAGGAGGTGAGCGTTACAGTGCCATGCGTCCAATCAATGGACGTCCCAGGATGCGGGCAGAACAACCCAAAGCCCCTGGGCCCCTGCCTTTGCCCAACATCAGGCCTCGTCTTTTGATTCAATGGATGGTGTGGCATTGTCCAAGACACACATGTTCCTATGCTTCTTATTATCATGCTACTCAGAATTCAGTATGTTTGGTTGCAAATTGCAATAACTTCCTAATCCAATCTATCTGGTCAACATTGACATTGCAGCACAAACTCAAATTCCTTATCAGCAAGACTTGCGGATAAAAATCTCATGGATCAGCGCACACCATGACTGGGTATAGGTAGGAAAACACTGCTGGCCATTTAGTGTGGTAGAAACAGACACACAATTCCAAGTGTTTAAAAGCTGCTTCATTTATAATCAATCAACAATCATGGTGCACGCAAGATGTATGATGTATTACTTTGTTCTAATCAGCATCATATACACAATTCCAGTTGTTTAAAAGCTGATCCATTTATAACTCTTGCATACAAGAGTGTGTCCAGTTATAATGTTCCAATGAATCAAAAAGGAAAAATGTTCCAAAGAGGATATCAGTAAACAATAGCATCAAGTGACTCCAGATCAGTCATGATATAAGGCCTACCATACAGAGTCATATGCTTTTCCATTTTTCAAGACTTCCTATCCTATTTCTCCTTTTTCTTAGCAAACATAGAATAACCATCACCGATTTCAGTTTTTCATATCAAAAGTTTTAGGGGAGGAGAACAATGTGCGCACGGTTTAGTTATTCCATGTGGGCGATATAGGTTTGAAAATCTCAAAAGAATTTTAGAATTGTGGGATTAACAAGGTGCCAGAATTTCCGGTAAAAGGAAGGGCCAAAACCATCGGGGTCGGGACTGGCAATGGGGTTCATTTGTAGAAAGGCTTGTTTCGTCATCAGAGATGGGAGTGCAGATGTTTGAAGTTGGGATATTGGACTAGGGTAAATTTGGTGGACATAGATGTTCCTGTGGGTTTGAGGAGAGGTGCCGATGATCTACGTTAAGTAAACCTTTAAGATAGAATTTTTTGGCTATGAGTGTGGAAATCAACACCTGACGGTGTTTTTTCAAAGCCGTTGAGAGGCTGAAGCGGGAAAATATTTAGTATTTTCCTCACCTTCGATAGCAGCTCGTATTTTGCCCGTAATTTTCAGAACAAGGCGGGCTCCCATTCTCCCATTAGGCTGCTGCCAATGCTTCTCTCCCCATCATTGAACGTTGCCGAAAATTCCTCTCTGGCTGGCGTGCCATATTGCTATCAGAAGGAGCTCGCTTAATTTTACTTTCCGTCGTCATCGACTTGCTAGCAATCCACTTTGTCTGCTTTTCAAATCCCTAAAAATGTTCTTAAAACTATTGATGCCTTCAGTCGTGCTTTCTTTTGGGCTGCTCAGTAAACGTGTGCAGGTGCTCAATGTGTAATTGCTTGGAAAAACATTTGTAAACCAATTTTTTTTGGTGGTTTGAGCCTCGATAACTTCCACCAACAAAATAATTGCCTTATGAAATTTGCAGTCAAGTCACTCTCCCAAGAATCCCCACCCTGGCTTGACTGGATTCACCTACAACACTCCAATGCCTTGGTTGCCCCCATAACAACACTTCTTTGTTTTGCAAAACCATAAACAAACAGATTCCATCGCTCCTACAACTCTCCTTTGTCCTCACCGCTTCAGGAACATAAACCTACTTTTGTTTAGGCACTTGGATACATCAAACACCTCTAGCCATTGTCTTTCCCATCCTCTTTACCCACACCACAAATTGTTTTGTCAGAGTGGCGACCATACTTGAACTTCTGTTTAAAAACTGCATGTAGAACCGTCTATCTAATGCTGCCTCCGCAGAACTGTCTTCTCTTTCCTCTTTGCTGCAGGACTTCCAACTATCTACGGATCATGATGTGCACTTCCTCCAAGGTGGACGAGATTCCTCCACCCGCTCGACGTATGATCTCATCATGGCAGAAGCCGACGTGGACACTCATGCTAGGACAATCTGGTCCTCTAAGAGCATCTCTAGCAGACCCCGCAAAATCCCGACCCGCATAAGCCGTTTACAGTTCGACGAAGATCTCGTTTGCGGGTCGAAAACGTGCGCAGCAGAACAGAAACCATATATGAAACTGCATGATTTGAAAAAAAGTTTCGCGGGAGAAATTGCAACCATAGTAGTTCATCACATACTACATATACTACATGATCAAAGACTAATTCATTACAAACACTAGTTCATATTACATACTACATTCACTACTAGTAGTAAGGGGGGTGGGGATCTCACGGCGGCGAGCTCGCGGCCATGGACGACGCGATGGAGGAGCTCAATCCTCCTCGTCGGAGCTGCCGAGGTCGATGTACTTCTCCCTCTGCTCCTCGTGGATGCGCCGCCACTCGTCGTCCTTCTCCCTGGCGGCAAGGTTCGCCGCGACCGCCTGCTGGAACACGAGGTCTTTGAGCTCCTCGTGGTGGCGCCGACACTCCACCTCCTCGCGCAAGCTGCGTTCGGCAATGCGGCCGCGACCGCGTCGACATCGGCGACGAAGTCCTCGGGCCCGACGACGCCGCGGCGCACGATCTCCTCGGGCTCCTGCGGATCCTCCGGGTCCTCCGACCACTCCCTCTTCACGGGGAGAAGCCTCCCACCGGAAGAGGAATAGCTCGCCGCTCGGGTGAGACACGTGGCAGATCTCGAGCCCGCGACGAAGGAGCCCGCGGCCTGCTGACGGTCGTACTCCTCCATCTCGCGACGGAGGAACCTCGACGGCGGCAAGAGGCCCCGGTTCGTCCACTTCTTGGCCCCGCGCTTCCTCACGCCGTCCGAGCGGACACGACGCTCACGCTTGGGGTCGTGGCGACTGCCAGAGCCGCGGCCGAAGCTCCACATGGCGTTTCGAGGCGGATGCGGGCTCGCCGGCGGTGAGAAATGCGAGGGGGCAGTGGGG